AGTTTCTGAAGATTTTAGGCCTGTGAGAAACAGCTAGTATTCACTTTGGATTCAGATTCGGCCAATTCGGGGGACAGTGAGTCAATTCAGTGATTCAAAACACTGTCCTGATTCTATTCAGCCATATCTCTGAATCGGCCAGGCCCATTCCCCACCCACTTTCTCAGCCCGGCAATATCTGCCCCACCTGTCCCAACTCCTAGCACTTGGAAAATGAAAAGCCCTGATTCAGCAGGTGCTGCCAGCTCCAGGCCATTAAGGAAAAAAAAAAAAAGCCAAGGAAAGCCCCAGGATTCACCACTGCTGGTGTAACTTTGGGGCTTCGGGGGCTCATGCAGAGCCCCCCACATGGTGCGGGGAAGTGAGGAGTAGCGAGGATCACCCCCACTAGCAGAAGCAGTGAGTCTGGGGGTTTTCTCATTTTTTTTCTTAAAGGGCTGGAGCTGGCCCATGTGGGGCATTCATGGAGGGGCTGGGAGAGTGAAGAGAGGGTCAGGGGGCTCAAGCAGAGCTCCCTGTGCAGTATGGGGAAGTGGGGGGCAACGGGGATCAACCCCTGGCCAGCAGCACCTGCTGAGTCAGGGTTTTTTCTTTAACAAGAGCTGGGAGCTGGGGCAGGCAGGGTAGCCATTGCTGGGCTGGGAGAGGGGTGAGGGATGAGCCTGGCCTGGCTGATACGGAGATTTGGTTGCTGCCGAATCTCTGAATCAGATTGGGCTGAATTATATTGGGACAGTGATTCGAATCACCAAATTGAATAACTGTCTCCTGAATTGACTGAATCTGAATCCAAAACAAATACTAGCCTGTGGCTTAATAGACACAGCTTTAAATGTTTTTTCTACGTACCTCAAGGTACCGGGCATGGTTAGTGAATGCTGAGATCGTGGGGCAGATGGAGTGTCCCACAGGAGTGCAGGGCGGGGGTGGACCTGGAATTCCACATTCATGTCCATTGCTGAGCACATGGGGGACCCCCCATTCTCCCCTGGCTCAGTGATTGGCCACAGGGAGGCCCAGGTGCCCCCGTAGACCATGGAGGAACTAGTTGCCTAGCCAGGGGTTGGGGGGAGAGTCCCCCATGTACTCTGTGGTGGACCCAGAAATGGACTGCAAGTGCTTCTGGTCCACTTCCAGATCCACCGCCAAACACACTGGGGACCAACCACACCAGTGCTCCCATGGGACACTCCATCCACTCCAGCATCTCAGCATTCACGAGGCACCTGGGACCTTGGGGTATGTAGAAAAAAATGTTTTAAGTTATGTCTATGAATCATTGAATTTCTCCAGATCAATTTAGAAGATTCTGATTCAATTTGGAGAGATTAAAGGGTCTCCTGATTCAATTTAGATTCAGAGATTTGGCCACCAAAAAAGGCCAAATCTCCACCTAATTGAATCAGCAACCAAAGCTTTGCACAGCCCTCATTTTCTTCCCCTGCTGGCTGGTGATGTAGTGAGTGCCTCCTCCATCTCTGAGAGTGGGGCATGAAATGGTTTAAATAAATGAAAAAAAAGGAAATAGGTGCAGATGGAGTGAGGAGGGTGGCATTCACCACCTCTGCACCTGGAGCTTGGGGAACCCCAGCAGTGGGAGATTCACCTTATTCATAGATTCATAGATGTTAGGGTCAGAAGGGACCTCAATAGATCATCGAGTCTGACCCCCTGCATAGGCAGGAATGAGTGCTGAGTTTAGATGACCCCAGCTAGATGCCTATCTAACCTCGTCTTGAAGACTCCCAGGGTAGGGGAGAGCACCACCTCCCTTGGGAGCCCATTCCAGACTTTGGCCACTCTAACTGTGAAGAAGTTCTTCCTAATGTCCAGTCTAAATCTGCTCTCTGCTAGCTTGTGGCCATTATTTCTTGTA